CTTCGAAATGCAAAGACATGTAAGAATAGGCGATTGAATGGTGCAAGCAAAGTGAAAGGACAAATGCAACAAAAGCGAATGACACCTTTTTACTGCGCTTCTCCTCAGAGTGCAGCATCATTTGACTGGCAGACGCCGGCCGTCGCGAATGTCCCGTGGCCGAGGAGGCGCTCGGCCCGCCGGGGGTCAGCGGTCCCGTGGGGAATCCGGCCGCGGCGGCGGCAGCAGCTGCGGCAGCGGCCGCTACCGCCGCCGCCGCATTGCCGTTGGAGAGAGCGCCGGGCGGCAGAGGACCGGAACTGTTGGCCGACGAGTTGGCCGAGGAGGGCGGTGGACCGAGGGGCCCCGACACTTGCAGGTTGGGCGCCCCGAGGCCGGGCTGCCCGTGGCTGCCCAGACCGCCGGAGGAGAAGAGGCCCGAGGGAGGGGTGCCCCCGGCGCCGAGTGGTGGAAGGAACCCGGGTCCGAGACCCGCGGCGGCGGCCGCAGCGGCGGCAGCGGCCGCGGCGGCAGCAGCTGAATTCGACGCTCCGGCCGGGCCGAAGGGGGAGTAGACGCATGGGCCACCGGGCCCGCCAGAGGAGGGTGGGCCGCCGTGGTGACCGCCAGAGTGTGCGTGGTGGGGGTTGCCGGGATGGTGGTGGTGGTGCGGAGCAGACAGATCCGTAGGACCCGAGGGATTGGAGGAGCCGAGTCCGCCGTGACCGGAGTGATTGGAACCGGAGATTGCGGTCGTTGTGTTGCTGCCTCCGCCAGACGAAGAAGAGGAGACGGAAGACAGCCCTCCGCCTCCACCACCACCACCGCCGAGAGACAATCCTCCTGATGGGGGCGGCAGACCGGCGGCTTGATGTTGCGCCGCAGCAGCCGCGGCAGCCAGACTGGCCATTGTCGCCATAAACCCGGCAGGATCCATCATGGCGGCTGCCGCACCTGCTGGCCCTCCGGCGCCGCCTCCCGGACCCCCGGCAACGCCCGCGGCCGCCATTGCAGCTGCCATGGCGGCGGCAGCGGCTGCTCGCTATCGGGGAAGAGCAAATTGGAATTATGTTTTTTCATACAGTTGCAGTTAAGCGTGTGTTTACTCAAAAAGCATTGGTTTCAATATGAGAAAAAAAGCAAGCGAAACGAGCCAATCAAACCACCTTGAGAATGCGAAATAGAGATACACAAATGGCATATTAAATACGGAAATGAAAATTTGGCAAGTTGGTGAAAATAAATTGACTGCTAAAGTGACTCATTTGTAAACTGAAAATACAGTCAAAAGCATTATCATTTCGACTAATCAATACAATAGGCACATTAAAATGTCTATAAATAAAAATAGAAATGACGCATTTAGTATAATGATAAAGTTGCGCTGATTAATATCGCTTTTATGTCTGTACTCAAGATATTTAATATTTAGCCCATAGAAGTATCACA